TTTGAAAATTCCAACTAGAAGGGCACGATAAGTACTAAAATGTACTAAATATGGTACCCTTTGTATTAGGCAAACGGAATGAGCTAGAACTCTGAAATTTTGAATGTGGGTCTCTGATGGAAATCTAGAAAATGTAGAAAAGTTTATGGAAATTCGACCTAAAAATGTACGAAAAGTACTAAATTTAGTTCAATTTGTATATATTTTTAACACATATATTACTGGGAAGTGGTATTGATGCATGGACATGTCTTTATAAATTTGTACTTATATGTATGACAAGTACCAAGTGGTACCAAATTTGGTACAAGTTGGATTTAGGTGGACAGATATAGCTGGAGTCTTGAAATTGAGTATTAAAAGTATTGTTGGAGTGTAAGATGGAGGTAGTGTTGAAAATTCGTGCTTATGGGTACGGAAAAGTGCTAAATGATACTAAAGTTAGTACAATTTGGATTTTGGGTGAACGATAAGAGCTGAAAACCGGAAATGTTGAATTATGATTACTGTTAAGGATTGAGCTATAGGGACAGCTTTGGAAATTCGTATCTATGTGTAGGTAAAGTACTAAACGGCACTAGATTTGGTACAATTTGGATTTGAGTGAGCGGAGAGAGCTGGAAACCTAAAATTTGGAATAATGGTTGCTGTTGGAATGTAGAATTGAGATATGGCGGTATAGTAGTTATGTGTACTAAATAGTACTTTATTTGGTACAACTTGATTATGTGTGAACGGATATATCTGGATTCCAGAATTCATAAGTACGAATTTCCAAAACTACCTCAATCATTCTTTCCAATAGTAATCGTTCAAATTTAAGAATTCCAACTTTATTTGTTAAGTCTTGATTTAGATTAGGCGAGTTTACTTGCGGCAAGTCTTTGTTTGTAGGAGAGAGGGGCAAGGGGTATAGAAATGAAAAAAAATTGCTCGTACCGACAATTTTCTGGCAATTCGTTTTGTGTATTTCGTATTTGTTGACATTTTATATATATTTAAATGTGAAAAAACAACAAATAAAAAAATATTTTGGAAACCGAATTGCCTTGTATAGACGCATGGAGCAAGTTCAAAAGAGAACGATAAAAATTGCCGCAAGGAAACTCGCCTAATATAAATCAGGACTAACCAAAATCCAAATTGTACCAGATTTGGTACCGTTCTGTACTTTTTGTACCCATATTCCAAAACTATCTCAATCCCACACTCCGACAGTAATCTTATGCCATGTACAGACGAGCGTTGTTCGCTCTCTCATTCGTTGTTCGACCCTTAATTATGAAGTAATTACTTAGTTCCCCATACAAAATTGTCTGAGCGAACACCGACTTTTGTACGTTGTTCAATTCGAATCACTCTCTGAATAACCAATAAATGTGTCCCATCCCTAACAATTGAGAGTATTTATCGAAAATAAATTAATTTTGACAGTTTGAAAATATTTATGAAATTTTCAAACTTTTTCAGTAAAATTGAAAATCATGAATGAAAAGTAAAAAATTGTATAGTTTTTATATATGCAGCAGGATGTAAATTTTGTTTTCTACATAATGCAATATGCATTTCTTTCCCCTTGGTTCTTGGCGTACAAAACAAGAAACAAATGTGGGGCAACTCATTTAGTACACAAATTTTCAAAACTCAATCCTACACTCCAACCGTTATTTTAATTCCAAATTTCAGAATGTTACCCCTATCCGTTCACACTAATCCAAATTGCACCATTTAGTACTTTTTGTTCCCATATGTACGAATTTCCTAAACTACCTCAGTCCTACACTCCAACAGTAATTTTAATTCAAAAATTCTGGAATCCAGGGGGGTTACTCGGTATTGTATTGCGAAAACAAGTGCAAAAAATGATGAACGAATTAAAAAAAAATTAAGAGATCGATCAAATATACTCTCCCTAAGTGAACACGGGTATGAAAATAGAAGTACGATGTACAAATGTTTTCAAATATTTAATTTTTATAAATTTGTAAAAAATGTTGTTCTCAATGCGTTTATGTATTTAGTAAACGCTATTAAGAATGACCTCGTCGTTCCAAATAGATCCACAGCAATTCCAACTCCAATACAAGTGGCGGCTGCTTTGAAATAGCTTGGACAACCTGTAAATATGCACACATAGTTTCACATTTTATATAAAAATATAAAACATAGCTTTTTTCCAACCAGCGACACACAGAGTCACGACCGCGGCCAAAAATGGTCAAAACCAAGTACCTAGGAGGACAAATTTTTTGATGAGTATTGCGTATTAGAAAACACCAATTAGAATAAATATGAAATTTTATATCGATATATCGAGTAGTTTTGTCTCTACAAAGGTTTTAAAATATAGCTTATAAATAATTAGTCAGTTTGAAGATTATATTTAATTATCAGATTATTTGAGACATAATCTTATAATCTAAATTTAGAGGTCACACATGAATTGCCTTTGTGGAAAGTTCATACAAAGTGCAGTACAATACCTTTTGAGCGACTTTCACAAAATGCTAACAAGTCATGCCACAAAATAATTAGTAGCAGCCCGAACTTTTGTTAACGCCGAGGATTTTATTTAGTATTTTAAGGATTTTATTTAGTATTTTATATTACAATCCGACCTTGTAATATCCTTAAACAGCAATAAAGAAAAGGCCCCCTGGCTCTCGTATGAACTAGGATTATTGACTTCGCTCTAAAATTTGTTTACAAAAAACCAAGTTAAAAAATAATGAAGATCTACCGATTGTCTTTATCTTGGTTCATACGATGCACTCACAGAGAAACGTGTAAAAATTTGGAATCGATTGGGTTATTAGTTTTTGAGTTATCGTGCCCGTCATTCACAAAAGAGAAAAACGCGTTTAAAGTTTGAGAAGCCCTTTAGCCATCACTAGATGCTGACACAAAAAATCGGCTATATCTCCATTTTTTTCATTTTGGGCGATTTTTTTCATTTTGTACTCAACAAAATTTAAACAATCAAATTAAAACCATGTGCAAAATTCCAAAGCTCTGTCTTAAATATTGCGACCTCAATCGGACGGACCTGGCTAAATCGACAACGAATAGCGGTTAAGAATAAATTAAATATTAACAATTTTATTAGCACTTTTTTAAATTTTTTAGCACTTTCTAGCATTTTTTCAACAAAATCTAGCATTTTTCCTCAACAAAGTTTTGGCAACACTGCTGATGGGTGTTCTGAAAATTTTGTGAATGTCCTGATTTATATTAGGCGAGTTTACTTGCGGCAATTCTTATCGTTCTCTTTTGAATTTGCTATACAAGGCAAATCGCTTGTAAACATATATTTTCTGAATTGAATTATTTTTTTCTGAAATGACACTGCAAACAAAATAAACAAAACAAATTGGCAGAAAATTGTCATTTCTATTCCCCTTGTCCCTCTCTCCATTAAGCAAAGACTTGTCGCAAGTAAACTCGCCTAATCTAAATTGAGACAACGATAAAACAGTAATTTATTAGTAACTAAAGTATATCAAATATTTTATTATAATTAAAATAACAAAAATAAAACTACTATACTTAATATAGCTGCATATAACGATTTTATGGTACAGAAAGTTACTTTTTTAGGTACTTTTGGTATGGTAGGTACCTGAAACATGGACCAACAACTAAATTGCAACATCTATTACTGTCTTCGCCCAATTTTGAAGTAATTTGTACGAAGACATGAAAATTTTCATGGAATTTTGATAAATATAAACAATTTTATAGGTCTAAAATGCGGATTTTTCAAGACCCTTTGTATGGAAGGTACTTTAGTATCATTTAGACCTTTTGGTACCCATAAGCACGAATTTTCAACACTACCTCCATCTTACACTCCAACAGTACTTTACTCAATTTCAAGACTCCAGCTATATCTGTCCACCTAAATCCAACATGTACCAAATTTGGTACCACTTGGTACTTTTCATACATATAAGTACAAATTTATAAAGACATGTCCATGCATCAATACCACTTCCCAGTTATATATGTGTTAAAAATATATACAAATTGAACTAAATTTAGTACTTTTCGTACATTTATAGGTCGAATTTCCATAAACTTTTCTACATTTTCTAGCTTTCCATCAGAGACCCACATTCAAAATTTCAGAGTTCTAGCTCATTCCGTTTGCCTAATAAAAAGGGTACCATATTTAGTACATTTTAGTACTTATCGTGCCCTTCTAGTTGGAATTTTCAAAAACCCAGCTTTATCTCATGCCTACACACCAACAACAACCCACACACAAAATTTCAAGATTCTAGCTTCAGCCGTGTCGTTGGGCGATGATCTGTCAGTCACACATTTAACACTAAGCTCTTTTATATATTAAGATTACACATTCTATATGGACAGCAATAGGACTACTGTAGTCTATTTCAGATATAGTCCAAAAATAATGTAATTCCTCTGCATATGTTATGCTAACTGTGGGTAGAATGAATGCAAATCTCTGATTTTCTGATTTTCTATTTTATGGTCCTTTTGAGTCAAATAGTCTCGAATTCATATGGGACATTTTCAAAATATTCCTGTCAAACTCAAATTTAAATTAATTTAAAAGGTAAGATTACAACAAATTCACTCGCCAAAACAAATATCTTTACTTCGCAATCAAATTTGTTTATAGTCGTCCAAATTACTCAGACGAAAGTTGGTATGTATATTCATTATATTTTTACAATTTTCACATTGAACCCACTAAATATTTTTTAAAGCGCCACATTTTTTAATTCTTAATAAAAAAACACTGATGTAAATTATGTTTGAAATACCTATCCAAAGTATTGCATTTATTTGTTTGTGATTTCTTTGTTTTCTCTTGTTCTTGTGTACAATAATTTAAAAAACATCAATTTGTTATTCTATCTAAATTATCTTAAATATAACATAGACTATTATGGACATGAATGATGAGATGATTTTTACAATGGCAATGATTCTATTTTTTATTCAAAATTATTCTAAGAGTATCTCCCACTTTAATCGACTTCTTCAACGGTGGGTCCACTTCTGCCGCCACCAAAACCGCCAGCCTGTTGGCCACACGAAGGTCCAGCTCCATGTAATTTCGTCATAATGGGCGTGCAAATCTTTGTCAGATCTTTCATTTTATCTTCGTATTCCTCCTTTTCGGCCAAGGTATTGGCATCCAGCCATTTAATGGTATCTTCACAGGCCCGCAGCGCTTCGCTCTTTTCGTGTTCCGATATCTTATCACTGCCGGCCTGATCCAATGCCTGTTTTACACCGAACACATAACTTTCCAAATTGTTACGGGCAGCAATCTTATTGCGTTGCTTCTCATCTTCGGCAGCATATTTCTCAGCCTCGTTAACCATTCTATCGATTTCAGCTTGCGATAGGCGGCCCTTGTCATTTTTGATGGTGATATTCTTGGCATTACCGGAACTCATTTCCTTGGCGGAGACATTCAAAATACCATTGGCATCCAAATCGAATGTCACTTCAATTTGGGGTACACCACGTGGAGCTGGTGGTATGCCGGATAGATCGAAGGTACCCAATCGATTGTTATCCTTAGTCATAACACGTTCACCTTCAAACACCTGAATTGTGACACCAGTCTGATTGTCCGAATAGGTGGAAAATGTTTGGGTCTGCTTGCATGGAATACGGGTGTTGCGTTCAATGATTTTCGCCATTACACCACCAGCAGTTTCAATGCCCAACGAAAGTGGAGCCACATCGACCAGTAGGACATCTTGAATTTCACTACTCTTGTCCCCACTGAGGATAGCAGCTTGAATAGCAGCACCATAGGCCACTGCTTCATCTGGGTTAATGGACAAGTTGAGGCTCTTGCCACAGAAGAATTGCTGCAGCAGATTTTGTACCTTTGGAATGCGTGTTGAGCCACCAACCAAGACAATATCGTGGATATCATTCTTGTCCATTTTGGCATCGTTGAGAGCCTTTTCGACTGGTTGCAATGTCTGGCGGAAGAGATCGGCACACAATTCCTCAAAACGGGCTCGGCTGATTTTGGTATAGAAATCAATACCCTCGAATAAGGCATCAATTTCAATGGTGGCCTCTGTGCTGGATGAGAGTGTGCGTTTGGCCCGTTCAGCAGCTGTTCTTAGGCGGCGCAAGGCTCTGGGATTAGAACGTAGATCCTTTTTGTATTTGCGTTTGAATTCATCGGCCAAATGGTTGACCAGGCGATTATCGAAATCTTCACCACCCAAATGGGTATCACCAGCCGTGGAACGTACCTCGAACAGGGAACCTTCATCGATGGTTAGAATGGAGACATCAAAGGTGCCACCACCCAAATCGAAGATTAACACGTTGCGTTCTCCTTTCAGGTTTTTATCGAGGCCATAGGCCAGGGCGGCAGCTGTGGGTTCATTGATAATACGCAAAACATTTAGACCGGCAATGCGGCCAGCATCTTTGGTCGCCTGTCTTTGTGAGTCGTTGAAATATGCTGGCACTGTGATCACTGCATCGCTGACTGTTTTACCCAAGTACGCCTCGGCGGTCTCCTTCATTTTTGTCAATACCATGGAACTGATTTCTTCGGGAGCGAAACGTTTTTGTTCTCCCTTAAATTCGACACAGATTTTGGGTTTACCGCCATCACTGACTACCTTGAATGGCCAGTGTTTGATATCTTCCATTATTTTAGGATCATCATATTTGCGACCAATCAAACGTTTGGCATCGAAGACTGTGTTTTTCGGGTTCATGGCCACCTGGTTCTTGGCGGCATCACCAATCAGCCGCTCGGTGTCTGTGAATGCCACATAACTGGGTGTTGTGCGATTGCCCTGATCGTTGGCAATTATCTCCACTTTGCCATGTTGGAAGACACCAACACAGGAATAGGTTGTGCCCAAGTCAATACCAATTGCTACCATGTTGTTGCTGTTTCTGTTTGATTTTCTTGCAGGAAGTTAATTTTAGATTTTTGTAGATGACTGTTTTTTCAGAGAATAGATTTTTTACACTTCTTGACTTTTGTAACGTTTTTTTCTTTACTTTTTCACTTCGTTTTTAAATTTCTCGTTGAACAACTTTTGTTTGGTTTAGTTTTGTCGCCTTGTTTCTCTTGTGCGTTGTTTACTCTTTGACTGTTTCTACTGAATTAATGCCGAAGAGAGCCGAACAGCTGCTATTTATACCGCGAAGCCCCACTGCAGAAATTTCCCGATACTCTTACGAGAATAATGTGGAAATTTCTAGATAAGTTGAGAAGGAGAAGAAGAGAGCTGAAGTTGAATGTTGAAGAGAATGGTGGTGGTGGTGATTCATTTCCCCATGCCAGCCCCAGATGAGAACAAGAAAACACATGAGAAGAGTGTGCCAAATAAAAAATATAAAAAATTCCAGAGACAGTTGGTTTGTCTAAATCGGGAATATTCGGTTGAAAATTGTAGATTAGAAATGGAAAAAGGTCAGAGTTGTGATATGGAGCGAAATGAATAACCGAATAGAGAAATAGATAGCAGTGGTCACAAGAAGGGCCTGCTGCTGTACCCTATCAACAAAATGTTGTTTTAGAAATTTCGTATTTCTATGGCAATGTCATGGTTGAGCGTCAATTGTAGAGGTAGGTCAGGTGGTTTTCTTTGTTTGCAAATGAGAGAAACCAACACTTGATAAGCTGAGTGGGCTATGGGCGAAAGAGAATATTTGCCGCCAACTGTAATTAGAATATATTTATAGAAGTGTATCTCAATATATTTCTGTTATCCAAATTTTGAGCTTCTTTCTAATTGTTATGTTAGAATCAAAAAATGTAGGTATGTATATTTGGCCAATATAAGCATACATACATATTTACCTCAGTTTTTCTCATCTGAATCATGTTATTAGGCTGACGTCAGAGTGCAAGCGAGAAGCGATGCGATACTACATGCTATAATAGTTCATGCTACTTCAATGCTATAGTATGTCAGAGTGAGTGCTATAGAGAGCAAAGCGTGTTGTTGGTTTATATCGCCTATTTCTGTTGTAAACTGGTGTTTATTGACTCAAGAAGGATTCCGACGAAGAATTTTTCATATCACAAAATATTTTCAAAGTAATTTTTTAAAGAAAATTCATGAAATGAACAAATATTTCTGCATCGATTTCCCTTATTTTTTCCAAATTATTTTATTATTATTTAATTAAATTTGGACTTGAGTCCACAAAAATCCCGACAGATTGGTCCATGCCATTAAAATTCGATAAGATGCAAAAGAACGATGCCAAAAACCGATCAATAACGGTAAATAAAAATAATAAACAAAGAAACTCAAACAGAGCCAAAGCGAGCTCTTGCTATAAACCATTGCACAACACGCTTTATCGCTTGCACTCGCTTTGTCTCGCTTGTAGCGTAGCATCCACTCTGACAGCTTTTGCGCTATACCATAAGAAAACACACGCAGAGGTTTATAGCGTCGTCTAGCGGCATATCATAGCATCGCTTCTCGCGCGCACTCTGACGTCAGCCTTATATTTGGTTGCCAGCAAAGGCATAGCCAGTTAAATTGATGGGCATTAGAAACTATGCCGGCAAAACGTGTTGCGATTTATAATTTATTTTCCGATACACGTGAGTTTAAAAATAGTTCGCCCACTGCTTTATTTTTTTTTTTTTTTGGAATTTTGTCGCCGATGAGGGCAAACTAGGGTTGGTCGATTACCCAAAGTAATCATGAACCACAGCTGTTCAATCGATTTTATTGTTTATCGATATGTCGATTTGTGTATCTGTTTGCTTGTTTTGTCTTCATTCGTTGCTTTGTTGTGTTTTTCTTGGCGTTTATAGACTGATTCTAGCTTTGTGAATGAATTTACAAAGATCATGTAATAGTGGGATAGAGTGAGTGCTTAATATTTGTGATAAGTTGTTGAAGTTCCCGAAAAAAGCAAAATCTTTCCTAATTGTGGTGTATTTGTGGCAGCTGAAAATGACATGGTCATCAGTTTCTGTTGTATTGCAAGTCTCGCAGATGTTTGTGTTGGAAACTTTTATTTTGTGCAGATAGGTCTTTCCATATGTATGACCTGTAAAGAGTCTGTTAATCAATTTTATATCCGCAGGTGATAAAGTGGTGCCAGAGTGCCAGTGATGCTTTGGAGGTTCCGGAAAAAATTGGAAAAAGTAAGTTCCTTTGGTTCTTGAAGTTTCCTTGTAATTGTTTACCCATTCATCCCATAGGATTTGGTGTATTTTTGTGCATCCGTCTTCAACAGACAAGTGCGATGGAATTATACATCCTACATTAGTTGCATGCTTTGCAAAATTGTCGGCTCGTTCATTGGCGGAGATTCCAGTATGTGAAGGGGTCCATATAAACGTGAGTGAAGTTATGGGTGAGTGCTTAACCTTGTGGATTATTTCACTGGCAAGATAGTTGTATGAGGTGTTGTTTTGCAAGAGAAGTAAGGCATTTTTGCTGTCGGTAAGAATTACCGCTTTTTCAATACCATCTTCCATGATGATATCAATCGCTTTATTTATAGCGTGAAGTTCTCCCATTAGAGATGATAATTTGGAGCATATTTTGAAAACAAAATTGTGATCACATGAAATGTTGCACACTGCGCAGCCAGTGTTATTACCGGTGACTGACGCATCTGTAGCCCATATTGAGGTACCAAAGAATTGGGTTTCATTGAGTTTTTCTTGGAGTATGGCTTTAAAAGATTCCTTTGACTGATTATTTTTGAAGGATTTAAAGATGTCCAATAGAAACGTTATTTTATTTGTTGATGTAACATGTACATTAGTATTTATGTTGTCAAAGATGTGTTTGAATTTGGTATAAACTCTGCCTAGACTGGTTTTTGCAGAGGGAACCAAGGTGATTTTGTCATAAATGTTTCTGTGGAATAATTTGAACTTGATTAATTCTTTAGATGCTAAATATTGCGATCGTTGTTCGGGCGGTAGACATACCGCAAGAGCATAGATTGTATGTACTGGAGTAGAAGGTGTAAGTCCTAAACTTCTCCTAAAATTCTGATTCTGAAAGCTGGTCACTTTGCGGTTTATGTATGTTGGCATGTGTGCCATTGATGATATTGAATATTCAGTTTTGGAGCATATTAGCGATTTTGATAGTGTTATTGCCGTTTTTGGATTAATTCCTTTTTGGACCGAATTGATCATTTTAAGTGCATTTAGCGAATTTTTACATGAAGTCATAACATCCTCATAGTGCTCCTTTAATGTAAGACTATTTTTAATGTTTCTTCCCAGGAATTGTATCATACTGACAGTTTTAATTTCAGTGCCTTGACTGCGTATGTTAGGTTTTTTCCTAGCTCCTTTAGCTACATACATTACAGCGGTTTTTTCAACATTCTGCTTAAGGTTTAGTTGCGATAACATTCGCTGAAAAGTGTTTAGTTTTTGTTGTAGATTTTGATTAGCAACATCGAAGTGTTTATTAGTAGATAGTACAACGAAGTCATCTGCGAATTGAAATGTGTATGTGTTTTCATCAATGATTCCATGAAGGCCTAGGGTGTAAATGTTGAAGAGTGTAGGGCTCAAACAACTCACTTGAGGAAGTCCATTGTATATCTCTAGTTCATTTTTTCCCATAACTAGTACTCGGAGTTTCAAAAAACTGATAATCCATGCTATGATATCAATAGGGCAGTGTAGTTCACTTAGAATTTTTTGTAGAGTATCGATCCTTACGCAGTCGTATGCTTTTTCTACATCTAATGACAACATGATTACTTTATCTCCCCTTTCTTTGTGATAGCTAATGGTGTGTAGAATGTTATTGATGCACATTGAGGCTGAAAGGTGTTTCCTATATGCATAAGTGTTTGTAGGTAATATATTGTTTTGATCCAAAAACTTTTGGAGTCGCTCTTTGACCATTAAGTTTATGATTTTTGCAAAGACAGAAATAAGGGCAATTGGTCTGTAGTTGGTTATACAATCAAGGTCTTTCCCCCTTTTTGGAATAGGGACAATTTTTATCTTTCTCCATTCTTCTTTTATCTCACAGTTTTTCCATTGAGTATTCATGGCCGCAAGTAGATTTGTCTTTGAGTTCTCTGAGAGATGACTTACCATCTCATACGTAATACCATCAAGTCCAGCCGCAGATGGTTTCGTTTTACACTTTAAAACTTTAGAAAATTCCTGAAAAGTGAAGTTTGTGGTTGTGCGGTGTTCGGGGACATTGAAGTTAACAGGAGTGTTGTCGGGAACTTGATTCCTTAAATGGGTTAAAAAGTTTTTGTCATTTTCAGACGACCATTTCGATTGTGTTGAAGTTGAGAGTAGCGAATTTTTACACCCGTGAATAAGTCTAAATAGACCCTTTGAGTTCGGAGCATTACTCAAATGTTCCACATTCGTTTTGAAAGAGTTGTTTTTTGCATATTTAACTGAGTTTCGAAAGTTTTTTTTTGCTTCAATAAGCTTTTGAGCATTAATATTGTTGTTGTGTAAATCAAACACTTTTTGGGCTGCAATCTTTTGTGATTCTTTTCGACAACTGAATCCCACCATGCCTTTGATATATTTTTTTCATTAATCGTATATGTTGATTTTTTTATATGTTCTTTAAAGGTTTTGTGAATCTCATTGAAAGATGGATTTAGAGATGAATTCTCTAAACTTTTAAGAAGCTTATTTTTTGCTAAAAACTTTTTTGGTTTTTTAGAAACACTTGTAATTTTTATTATAACTGGAAAATGATGACACCAATTGAGGAGGAATTGACATCCCATAACACGTTTAAGGCGGTGTTTGTAAACGTCAGATCTAACACCGACCCATTTGGCTCATTTAGCCGTTTTTTAAAAGTGTGTTTACCGTTGTTTAGTACACGAAAACTGGATAGATCGAATAAGTTTTTGACAACTTTTCCCCTTTGGGAGTCAAAGGAGTCACCGTACGATGTATGTCGAGCATTGAAATCGCCGCATA